CATATATCTATATGTATGTGTGCATGTATGTATGTATATGTATACGAATATGTATGTATGTATATATGCATATAAGTATGTTTATATATATGTATATACATATATATATATATATATATATATGTATATATATATTTAATATCTGTATTTGTATCTGTGCCTATGTCTGTATATATATATACATATATATATGTCTATATGAATGTAAGTATAGTATATATATATATATATGTATATATATCTGTATTTGTGTCTATGTCTATGTCTGTATGTATGTATATATTTATAAATATATACCTATCTACATATATATTCAACTTTATATAATTGTGTTAGTATATAAATATGTATACCTATATATTTATATATTTATATATGTGTGTGTGCGTGTGTGTGTGTTGATATGCATATATATATGTATATGTATATGTATTTGTGAATATGTAGGGACATTCAATTGTTTATTTTTAAATGTAGTTACATATATGTGTCTACGTACCTTTACATATATACTGATATTCACACTTTTCTGTAAGTACTAATGTATCTTTCGATTAACTGTAAATTCACGAACATGTATGTATGTATGTATGCTCATTTAATCTGGGTATATACATATGTAGGAGTAAGAGTTCGATTATATATATATATATATATATATTGTACGTGTGCTTGTACAATACATTTGTATGTATATGTGCAAGATTGAATTCGTCTGTATGTCCGCTCCATCTTCACGTCCTTCAGTGTACCTTGATCTGCATTTACCAGCATTCTCGCATCGCGATACTTCTTTGTATTTAATCCACTAATAATCTCGCTGCTGTAACCGACCTATCTGATATTCCTCATACACGCAGAAAGCATCGGCAATATACTCATCTCTTAGGAACATGGGTCAAAGCAGCTACAGTAGGTTCAACACTCACACAGTTAAAGTAGCCGCACACGCCCATCGCCCATACACTGCGCCCTAGGCAACCACAATAAACTCGTCTCTTACACACGCACAGTGAAAAGTAAACAAACGCGTACATTTTCCACACCCCCAGAGCACAGCAACTACAACATGTTTGGTGCCGACGGCCAGTCGGCCACCAGCGCTGAGCTGCGTAACGCTGAGATTGAACGCACCCGATACTTGGGAGGTGATGTGGAGCACACGCATTTGGTGAGGGGTCTGGATTACGCGCTATTGCAGAAGGTGAAGTCTGATATAACGCAGGAGGATGAAGGTAAGGGCGAGGATGGAGGTGACAGGGCCGCCGAGACGAAAGGCGTGGATGCCGAGGCTGTGCAGGTTAAAAGCGCCATGGCCAGGTAAGTATGTGTGTGTAGCTGTATATATATATTCGTGTGTTTGTGGGTGTATGGTGGGTGTGAGTATGTGGGTGTAATTATAAATGTATATATATATATATATTCGTGTGTTTATGGGTGTGCCGTACTCTACGTGTGTGTGTGCGGGGGTGTGTTTCTGTAGACATACATATCAAGTCCTAACCCTCTAATATCTCACCCGTCCATTCTCTAGAAATCTCATGCGCACTGCATTCGACACCACGAGCCGGTACCGAAAGAACGAGAGCTTTCGGCCCGGCCGAATGGCGTACAAGTTTACGTTGACCTCAGTGTACGGGGGCATGGAGAATGACATCCCCACCACCCTGCTGAGATCGGCTGAGGAGATGAAGGGGAAGCAGAAGATCACACAGACCACTACGAATGACCTGGTGATTGAGAAGTTGGCGAGTATCTTCCTGGCCGTGAGGCAGGGTGCACGGTCACTGTCTACCAAGGAGGGCAAGCAGAAGAAGAGTAAAGGTGGGTGGATGGGTGCAGGGGGGGGGGTGCTGTGAGTGAGTGTCACGCTGCGGCAAGTGTATATTTGATATTTAATGAATATACATATGTTTCTGTTTCTGTTTCTGTTTCTGTTTCTGTGTGTGCGTGTGTGTGTGTATGTATGTATGTATGATGTACACATACTCTTCGCGCTCAATAACAGCTAAGATGGGTGTGTGCTAGAGCGAATATTGCATGAAATGTGCGAGTTGTGCTAGCATACCGTGCCATCCCGAAGTCTTGAAAGCTCTACCTTCTAAAACACTACCTGGCACCTTAACACCACACCTACACCATAGTAAAGAGAGCAGCAACCACACGCACCGAATAGATACCAGCCAATACGCCACTTGTCCACAACCGTGTACGTTGGCTATCTTTGTCTAACCATTTACTCTGCCCATTGACACACCCCCCCCCCCCCCAAGATAAACACGGGCGTGAGCGAGGCAGCAAGCACCCCCCCAACGAGAAAGCCACCGCACACACCGCTGCGGTCAAGTCTGCGGAGGAGGACGACGAAGACATCTTCGCTGACGTCGGGAAAGACTACACCCCATCACTCCCCACACCCACTGTAGGTAGACCCAGCGTAGGTGGGCCCAACCCCAACCCCGCGCAGAGTATTGGGGCAGAAAATGGCCCCAAAACAGAGGCGGGACCGGTCGGGCCGAGTATGCACCCGTCGCGCATGAAGTACTTCCAGGGGTCAGCGTCTAGTCTGGAGACGCAGTTACCAGTAAACACAGGTGTAGATGCACAAGCACATGTGAACACTCAGGGCGCAGAGAGTGAGGCGGATCCATATGCGCCGACACGGCCTGTGGTGGATGAGGGGGATGACTCTGTGACGGGGGCTTATGGAGAGGTACGGTGGGTATAGTAGGGGGGGTGTTTGTATATAGCTGTGTAGGGATGTGATTTGTGCTTACGAATGCATGCACTGTGTACAGCCATGTGGTTGTGTACAAATGTGTGCATGATATGAATGTTTATATGTGGTTTCGTACACATGTGTGCATGATATGAATGTTTATATGTGGTTGTGTACACATGTGTGCATGATATGAATGTATATATGTGGTTGTATATACATGTGTGCATGATATGAATGTTTATATGTGGTTGTGTATACATGTGTGCATGATATGCATGTGTACCTGTGGTTGTGTACACCTATGTACATAGCAGGCATGTATACCTCCGGATGTTTTTCTTCGTGATGCCTCTAGCATGCCAGTGCTAGTAGTTAATTAATCTGGTGGCTATGATCTCCCCTGTGCAAGACCGAAGACTAGACCGGGGCTTCACCCGTATTGCACATGTGTACGGGGTGCCCGACCCTTTCAATCCGTTTGAACGTTCTCTATGGATTCACACCTGTCCTCTGGTCCCTCAATGCCTATTACACATACAATCCGTCATGCCTCTTACACATATACATACCAACCCCCGCCTTCACCTCTACCTCACTCAGGAGTCTGTAACGGCTGTCTACGGCGACATGCAGGTAGACGCCGATGACGCCACCGCCCCCGACGGCAGTGATGACGTCACCGCCCCTTACGGCAGTGATGCCGTCACCGCTCTATACGGGCAGAAGGATGGGGTGACGGCTGCCTATGGGCAGGACGAAAGTGTCACGGGTGTGTACGGAGATGATGGTAACTACGGGTACGCCCAAGCCGCGCCCCCGTCACCTGCCCAAGCGGTATGTCGGCCAATTGAGTTCTGTGTATGGGATGTCTCTTTGTGTGTGTGTTTGTATTACTTTGTATACGTGTATGTATGTGTGTGTGTATGTATTACTTTAGGTGCGTGTATGTCAATGTGTGTGTGTATGTTTTACTTTGGGTGCGTGTATGTCATGTGTGTGTGTATGTATTACTTTGTGTACGTGTATGTCATGTGTGTGTTTGTGTATTACTTTAGGTGCGCGAGTATATGTCCATGTGTGTGCCAGACAGGATAGCATCCACCTACGTTGGCAGTAGGCCATGTTGCCAATACGTTAACGTGTGTGTAATCCCTAAACGAACATTGCCACCCCAAGTCATGCTGAGAACAAAGTATGAAGTACGTACGGGGATAGAAACGTATTCGCCTCGCCAATTAAGTCGTGATAGTAGCACTGGCCCGATAACATGCCTTTGACTCTGGCTCTGCTGTTCAGTACCCTACTCTACAGGTCGACCCATGTTTGTGTTTGCTACGTATATATGGTTGCATATATGTGTATTATATATATATATATACCTATCTTTACATATATGTGTGTACGTATATGTGCGCATATGCATACACAAATCGAGGCTCTCATGCAACCAACCTCCCCTCCTCCTCCACAGCCTGAGCCGCAGTTCAACTACTCGTTCACCAGCCAAACCGCACAGTCACTGGCCCATGTACAGGCACACACCACACAGGCACAGGCACAGGCCACTCATTTGCCACCTATGCCCGTACATCACCAGCACCGCCGCAAGCCACCCACCTCCAGCAGGTAACTTTGCTATACTTATACGGATATATATATATCTATGTATGTACGTATGTATTTTTGTATGTATGTATGTTAGATGTATATATATGTATGTATGTACGTATGTATTTTTGTATGTATGTTGTGTGTATGTATATATATATATATGTATGTACGTATGTATTTTTGTATAAATGTATGTATGTGTATATATATATGTATGTGTATATATATATGGATGTATGTATGTATATATATGTACGTATGTATTTTTGTATGTATGTATGTATGTATGTATACTCCATATAAAAGATTTTTAAGCACGGGTGCTTGCCACGTACCGGATACCTATGACCGTGCATCCCCAGTATATCCAAAGTGTATGTTTGTAAGTGTGCTTCCATGTCCATACAAATCTACCCAGATGTGCGGAATCGTGTAAATATAAATATACATATATATATATATGTGTGTGTATATATATATATATATATATATATATATATTCTGTATAGTTAGTTATTGTT